AATCCTAATAATCTCTGTGAGTCTCACTCTGAGACTTGACAAGACTCACTCCAAAGATCATACAGCTACAGGTACAAGACCAAAGAAGACAATTAGCTTGTCTGTCTTGCAGATCAAAGAGAATAAATTAATATAGACAGAAGCTACTGCTGATCACCTCAAATCTAATTCACAGATTATATTCAGATTTGGACTTTGTCTCAACAACTCATCTTTCTTTGCTTGCCATAAACTCCAGTAGAAACTGAAAAATGCCCCATATTTTTGCTTTATGTGGAAGGAATATAAATCTCAAGGAAAGCCTCCTAAAGCTGAAGCCACTATATGATTCTTGAGCAGGGACTTAAAATTTTCTTTAAAGTACAGGGCTATTTAATCTTTGGTGATCAGCAGATATGAACCCAGGTCTAGTTCTGAGAGAACAGTTGCAAAATCTCAGCTACCACTTCTGAGAAAATAAAAAGCTAAAATGTCAGAAAATGCTCTCAGAAAGTCCATAAACTAAATGTGGAAGGTAGAATTGCAGAGAACGTTAGGGGATTTTTAAGAACAGTTAGCAGAGTGAGATTTCAAGAGAACAAGAACTTGCAGAAAAATATTCTGTGAAAAAAAATTAAGAACAAAAAACTATGAGAAGTACATATTGTTATCATCACATGTATGATGCTGGCATGTAAGATATACAATGTATCACATCGCCAACACTAGTATGCCTCTGCACATCATCCAGGACAACTATTTACTGTTTAAATGTTTTACGGAAAGAAGAGAATGACAAATGTGAAAACATATTTATCCTCTCAACAAATGCAGTAGTCTCAGTAGGAGGCAAAAGAATAAACATCACACATGGCACAGTAAATATAAACTGAAAGTATTTATTATATTGTCACTTCTAATTTAAGGAGATTTAACAGGTATTTCCTTATAACATTCACAAGCCCTTTGGAAACTGTGACAATAGAATGATGTGTTACTGCCTCTCTTTTATTTAGACACCAAATCAGATAAAAACATGGGCTCACTTGTAAGGCCAATCCCAGTTTGGTAAGCATGTCAGCACACACTGCCTAGCAAGCCTACTCCAGGGATGCAGGGTGAGGCATTCTGGGTCTTGGAGTGTCCAGAGGTACACTGACACACATGAGCAGTGTGTACACTACTGTCATTGGTCCAGGTGAATCACATGCCCCCCAAGGGTATATATTGGGGGTTTTTCTTTGAAGTAAAGGATTTGGCTGTTTGCAATCCAAGCTGCTGGGTCATGTCTTATTATATTATATTAATAAGCCATCCACTGGACTGCCATCCAGTAACATGCCAGACCAAAGAGCCTTGAGAATCCAAGCTGGAATGGTAGCACAGAACACAAGCTGGTGATGTTGATCTCATGGATATGTCATCCACCCCCCTACGACTTCTTTCACTGGTCCCTTTCTCACCCATCTCTTCCCAAATATCCTTCCTTCATGTATTTGCTTCCAGTCCTGGCCCTCTGCTTCCTTCCTGCTTTCTCCCCAAAATCACTGTCCATGCATCAGAGGGATGGAACTGCAGCTTAAGGCAATTCCATAAAACATCAACAGATTAAATGGACACAGGCGGTCTGCCAAGAAAGCTTAGAACAAGACTTCAGATTTGGGGGAAAAGAAAAAGCAACAGAACACCTCTTCGCTCTTATCCTAGGAGTTGCAAGTAGTTTCTACAGTAAACGAAATCCCAGAAAAACAGATGCAAGAACTGGGATGAAGTTGTGGCACACACCCTCAGTCTCAAGAAGCAAGAAGTTTCTGTGTTCTCATCCTACATGAGCAATTCTCACACTTAAGCCATAATCTAAGAGTGCTCTTGGTGGTAAAAATGTTTTGTACGAGAAGTTGAGCTGATGTCTGACATTATGCATGTAAGTAAAAGCTGTGGGAGAACTGAGCTTCTTAGAGAAGCTTTATATCTCTGCCCAAAATTCCTCCAAGCAGTCAAACTCCGCCTCAGCTTCAAGCAGGTTTCCAGCCATGCATCATATTTATCTGAAAAACTGTTAAACAAGTTTTGTAAGCTGTATTCAAGCAAGACTCAGCAATAGCTATTCAGCCATGGGCTCATCCTTCCAAAAGCAAAAGCATTCACTGCAGAAATTCCTGCCCCAGTGTCAAGGCCCTGCTCCCCACTTTGAGGAGCCACAGGAGAACATGTGCTACCAGAACAGTGATTATAATGGACCATCAATCTGCTCAGTTTTGTGTAACTTTAAATAGGAATTAAACATTCAGAATCTCAAAATCTGATCAGGACAAGCCACAAATTACCTTTGATTCAACCTAAGTACCTTTAGGCAAAAGACATTTTTCTGTTTCATATTTCCAGTACTCCAGTCTGGTTATTTTCAAAGACAAGGACCGCTTGCTCTACAGTAACATGACACCCTTGAGCTGGATTAAACATGCTGTATTCTTGCAAAGTTAGCTATTTTTACACTCGAATAGTCAAAGCAAAAATTGGCATATCATACAGCTCTAGTCAGAAGTCAAGTTTCCATCTGTGAAACGAAATACTGTGAAGCAATTGAGAACATGCAGTAGAAAAAAAAAATCCACTACTTTCCCCATGTCTAGTTGATAATGATTTCCTTATATAAAATGTATTGAGTTGCCATTTACAAAACGAACTATTTTAAGGGAGAGATCTGGGCTCCTCTGACAAGTTGCTGAAGATATCAAATTCTTCAGAGAAGCTTTCCACGCATCTCCTCAAGACACAGAATAAGACAAAGATGAGATATGAAAAAAAAAAAGATAACATTCTGAGCAAAAGACATTTTTCAAGGTATTTGATAAACACATCAAACATTTGATAAAGTTTGGAGCCACAGAGGATTAAAAATGACAGTAAGTCCACCTAAGATAAATTCCAGAGTGTGTTTCTTCAGACATTTAAGAGGAATTTTTTTAATATTGGGAACAAATATTAAGCTGATAAAAAAGATTTTAGAAAGTGTTCAGGTAAAGTTCTTAATAAGGATCATGGAATTTCTCTGTTAGATGACTTGAGAGGAGCTAAATGGCAGGCACAGGGAGCCAAGTTCATGAATTCCAAAGTAAGGAGGGCAAATTTTCCTAACACAGGCTGGCTGTTTCAGGATCTTATCCTGTAGCCCTCCCACTACCAAAACCCTGCCACATAAACCTAATACAGCATGAAATTCTCCCATCGTGTCTTAGAGCGGATGGAACAAGCACTGTGGGTTAGTAAAAAGACATCCTGTTTTAGGGGGAGGGGAAGAAGACACAGAGAGAACATTCCAGGTAGGAAACTGCCCACTATCAGTATCTAGCTTATGCTCCACAAAAATGTTTGGATACATCATAGAAACAGATCCACTGCCAAAAGATGTGGCAAATTACTAGCTTGAGATTCCCATTAGGAAAACTATCATTTGTTCAGATCTTGGGCTGCATTTGCAGTCTGCAGCTTGGCACAAACTTTGTTGTGTCTCTACTAAATAAATTCAGTGCAGCATCTCCTGCTTATTTCACCATGAAAAGTGTATCACTGAAGCATCTCCTCCTACTCACCTTACTCATTTGACTGAAAAGACTTGACTCCAGACTTTCTAGCACAACGATCTTGTTAGTGCTTGTAATGATGATGTGAGTCATCACCACTGACACTTCATTTTAAATTCATATTTAAAGTTAACAAGTCAGTATAGCCTGAATTACACAGAAGATTCATAAGCAAGTCCCTGCCCCTTCAGCATTGCCTGACTGCTGACCAAACAGCCAGTTCTTAAACAAAAAGTATCTGTCCTTTGGCAGACATCAGCTCTTTGTTAACCTCATAGACAAAGGGGACAATGCTGAGGCACAATGAATATAATATGGAGACCACGAGCATATTTCACATTCAACATCTTAAACAGTTAACATTTCATGATAATGATCACTGATAGGTGACACGTTCAATTTAACTGGCATATTACAAAAACATCCTGAAAAACTAAGTTTAGACGAGAAATCGTGAGCAGGTCACTGGGGGAACTGACAGGCGCGTAAGTAAATAAATTAGCTTGACTGAGCCAGGATATTACTAATGAATCAAAATATGATAAGAGATGTGCATAGTTTCATGTGATATGTTTACAGGAGGGTGACATACAGAAACAGGCCCTGATGGAAGTTCCAGCTTTGAGCTCAGAGAACTAAGACATTAAATTATTTTTACATCCTCAGTGATGTCAAAATTAAAATTATACTACTTCACCCCCTGTCAACACTGGCATGTCTGCATTAAGTACCTCGGAATGGATTTTTACTATTCTTTCATCATGGTAAGTGAGAAGTAACCCCATTGGCAGGCATCCTTGTTGTAAAAGACACAGTTAGAAGCTGTTGTGCATGGACTGTCACAAGTGAATTTATAGTCTGACAACATATAAACAAAAAAACTAGGGCAATACTTGCTTAACAGAGGAACAATCTACTGCTATTAGAGAAAGAAAGTAATAATAACTTTGAGGGCTCTTTTCTGCCCCGTTGCATATTTTGAACCGCATATTATCCTGTTGATGCAGAAATCACCAACTAGATTTCAACCCCCCTGATTAAGCAAAACAAACAAACAAACAAACAGAAGTAATTTTTTTTTTAAGTCCCTTTTTAAACTATAGAAAAAATAAGCACAGTTAGGGCAGAAAAAATAAGGGCAGTTTTTGGTTTTTACTACCATGTAAATTGACTATTGCACCTCCAAGTAAATTTAGGGCAAATATGTGATTCTGGGACTCCTAGATATTCCTATACACAAAAGAGCTCCTTCAAGCACAAGCTTTAGCAACCAAGCAATGACTATTACAATGAGATAGTTCAAAATGCCAGTAATTATAACACTTCTTACTGTAATTATAAACTAAATATATCTTGGTGTCTATGATAAAAATATGGAGCTTTACATAGTCCATTTTAGAGAAAGACAAGAAGACAAAATAAATAGTGCAAAATGGCTCTTTCTCACTGTGCAAGTGCTTTATTCTCATAAGGCTGCTAAAATAGGTTCTGTGTAACAAACCTTCCATTACATATTTCATACAGACTTTTGGCAGGTTTAATTAATGCTGCAAAAGATTAATAACAAAAAATAAAAATTCTGTCAGGTTGAAATATCATTGTCAGACACTTATTTCAGCTGCTGAAACATGGTTTTGTACGTACAAATGAGTGTTCACATCCATAAGGAGTCATTTATATGAAGGTGCAATTTTTAATTATTTCACGTAAGGTGAAAATAAATTTATCTAGGTATGTTGCCAAAATTGTAATTTTGTCACTATGCACATCCAGCTACAGCTATGCTCAACCTGCTCTCGTGAGTAACATTATAAATTCAAACTTATAAATTTGTGCTCAATTTTTCATAATACCTGTATTTTTTACAACAAAATGACATTACAGTACTTACAAGTGACTGACCCATCTAATAAGCAGGAACACTGCAAAGAAGTGCCTACAGCACTTTTGTAGTCATGATGGTTTAGAAGCATGAATTACACAGGTACTGTGTTACTTCCCCCTACAATCCTAGTAGTAAACTAAATTATTCAGCCAGAGCTAACAGCCCAAATTTGGATGCACAGGCCCACTTCTGGGTTTCAAACAGATGCTAAAATCATAGTATTTCAATTTAGGTTGAGAACAGTAAATCAAACTGCATATGTTAAATGTTAATAGGATCTTATGTTAACTGTAAGAGGTTAAAAACATTAATTACACAGTTTTAAAGTTGCATTTCTGGAGCAGTGGCTGACAGAAAGATAACACTCATCAGGGAGACCTTTGGACATAAAGACATTACAGGACAAAACATAAATATCCAATTATTTTATCGTCTTGTTTATAACATAACACGATATACTGAAATCTACTTTGTGCATAATATTTTAACACCTTCCACACCTTGTCTTGAATGTCATCACGGATGATCCTGAAAAACAAAATTAATAAATGTACTAAGCATTAGAAGTCTGGCACTTGGGAAAGAATTTGATTTGTTTCATGTAATAATTTCCTCATGCCCTAATCCGAAGTAATATATATATATATGTATTCAGTACTAAAGCTGTAGTTGGACAAGCTCTTTTTGCCAACACTAACTGATGTTGCTGCCAAGAAAAGCGTTAATGCTATTGCCTCCATTTCCACCTTTTTAATGCTACAGCTGTTTCACACCTTTCTGTGGGCCAGTGTAAGTCTTCGTGCCCCCTACACAGTGAACTGGATCTGTGAAATCATCCACTCGAAAGAACTGCTGTGGGGGGGAAAGTGTCCTTTGAATTATGCCTTGCAAAAATTACTTTCAGTGTATATTTACACTTGAAAGTCACTCAGTTTCACGCCTTAAGGAAGGCTCACACATTTGGAAGCTTGACTGGTTTTAACAGCTGTAATGGAAGAATAAAAGATGCTACTTCTCCTAACAACCTTCTCCCAAGAGCATCCTCAGACTATCAGTGTTTACAAAAACACTGTAACTGTTTCCAAAAGGACAATTCTTCTCACTACTCCACTTTCCAACAACTTATGTGGGCTCTTTCGAATCAAGGTAAATATCTTCTACAAGTGATAATTCTTTTAAACTAATATTATTTGTATTGTTTCACTTCAAGGTTTCCAGCCTTTCACGGTGCTAAATACAGATGCTTCGCACACTAACAGTTCTTTTTGCAGTTCAAGACCTCATGTTATTTGTAATACTCTAATCTGTTTATTTTACATTTGTAACATAATACTTACGTTTTGGGAAAAAAAACCCCAACTATCACATAGAAGGCAAGCTAAATTACTCTTATGAAAGATCTTCTTCTATAATTGTGAAATTAGACTAAGACTGACAAATTATCAAAGATATTTCTATTAACCCACAGTTTTGCTAAAAAACACATAATTAATATCCATTATATAATGCCACTTACAGCTTCTAGTCAGCCTTTCCCTTTCATTAATTAGCATTTAAAAACTGCTTCATCCTGTGTTTATTACCTGACCTTATGACTGGAAGGAGAGTTACTCCTAATATGAAGCGCAACACAAAATAATTTATCGTGCTAACAAAAACACAGGACAATTTCCGCAGAAAAATTATAATTTTGTGTCATTTACAATGGCTGTTTTGCCTCCTGAGACCTCCTGAGTTTATACTGTTAAAAAGTTTTCATGAGGTACAAACATCTGAACTTAATCATATATAACTCCAGTACTTAAAAACAGCTGTTTCCTTCACTCATAAAAGGGGATTTAAAAAGTCAGTTTTCTCTTATTGGTTTTATCACTGTATTTCAGTGACTGGCAGCTTCAAAGTGCACAGCACTGTATGGCCCTATTTATTTTGTAAAATGTACACTAAGCTTTCTATGCTTTTATCTTCCATCAAGATCACACAAGACAGATATTGTGCATTATTTTCTTTAGTTATCTGGGGTTTTTTCTTACTTGTGTTTCTGCCTTCTAGTTCAAGAACACAAACGTTCTTTGTGGGGGAAAGTGAACAAGAAAGCAGCACCTGAAAGAAGTCATCACCAAGTCATATTCACAAGCAGTAAAATGTAATACATTGTTGAAGATGAAGAATCTGGCAATCTAAGCAATTACAATAACAGGGGTTTTTTATAGGAACTAAGGATTGTAGATATAAAAAGATGTATGTTAAATAATAGCCTAAAGATTCATAGATTTAAAAGATACCACTGTAATCACCCATTCTGATCCTACCCATGACACAGGGCAGGGAATTTCACCCAGTGACTCCTGTGAGTCCCACGATTTGTGAGTTAGACACTCTTTTTACAAAGGCAGCCAGTACAGCATTTAGCATCTCCTGTAATAATCTGCCCTGCTACCTGATTATCCTCATTATAACTATTGTATCTCATATTTCTAACATTTTGGAAGATATTATCTTTCATTTCTCTGACAAAAACCAATCGATGCCAGCTGAATCTGTTACTCTAAACTCTTCCTGCATAGCTTTCTCGCACACCTGGACTAGCATTCTTTGTATCAGTTTATGCTTTGAAGGAGAACAGATATGAGTGTTCACACAAATTTCTTCAGCTCTAGAGCAACTCCTTCTTCTGAAGACTGAAATCTATACAAGACGTTTTTAGCAGATGCTACAACAATGCCAGAACAAGCAGATATCTGAATAAAGTGTTGATTTTGCTTCCATAAGGAGAGGCCAGCATTACAAACCTCACAAGTTCACCTAGTACAAATTCATTCATATTACAGTTTTGCAATTTATAAATGAAATCATTCCTGGAAATTAAACCTGTCTTTTTACTTAGTTCCACTTTATGTGAATAATTTCATTTGATACACTTTAAATATTTTAAAAACTCCTCTTTAATCTTGCTTTTGTGTCTTCTGCTTTAATAGACTTTGCCTCCCAGTGTAATCTGTAATAATTATTCCTTACTGTTCGCAGTGACTGTTTTCCAAAAGAAACTTTCTAAATAAAATCTAATTAAGCCACACTTCTTGAAGTTCTTTCAGTCTGCTTTTATAAATGTCTTATGTTGGTGAGCATGAAGATCCTGGTTTTCTATCCTCCCTTAGCACAAAACTATGCAGAAAGGCTATGAAAAAATTTGTTTCCTTGCAACACTAAGGTGGCAGCATCCATTTCATTTACTGAAGCGACAAAATTCATTTCCTAAAATAATGAAAAAAACCAGATTTTGTTGGGGTTTTTTTTGATACTACATGTAAAACATACAGATGGAGACCATCAATTTTGGAAATAACTTTGTGGGTGTTTATTATTCCTTTGACAAACATGAAAGGTGCTGAGAGTGGAGGGGTTTTTTTACCTTCATATTGTCAAAGTTTCTTTGAAGTGTAATTTAAGTAATCTGCAATATATTCATTAAAGTTAGTGAGACCACATAAATCATCAGCATCTATCAATCATGGAGAGAGACTTCTTTAAAAGACCATGGAGTGACAGGATGAGGGGGAATAATTCAGACCAAAAGAGAGTAGTATTAGATAGGGTAGTAGGAAGAAATTCTTGGCTATGAGGGTGGTGAGGCCCTGGCACAGGTTGCCCAGAGAAGCTGTGGCCCTCCAAGGACAGGTTGGAGCAACCTGGGTTAGTGAAAGGTGTCTTTGCCCATGGGCTAGAACAAGATGATCTTTAAGGTTCATTCCAACTCAAACCATTCTGTGATTCTATTTTTCGCCCATTTATCGAGATCTGGTAGTTCTACATTAGAGGCTGTCCCCTGTCCCTCGCATAAAGGTGGTTCAGAGCCACAAGCTCAGGGTTCAGCCCCCTGCCGCCATTTCCCCGCCTCCCCTCAGTCACCACAAAATGGCGGCGGGTGAGGGCGGGGACTCTCCCGCCGCCGTGCACGCGCGTGGCTCGACCAACCGCGAGCGGTGACCCGGCCCCACGTGACACCCTCGGAACTACAACTCCCATCATGCCCCGGCGCTCCCCCTTCCTTTTCCGGCTCCCCCTCAGTCCCACCGCGCTCGGGAAGGTCGGGCAGGGCGGAGGAGTCACCGCCGAGTCCTGTTTGTATCATGTTGTCCGCCGGCGTCCGCCGCTTCGCCACCTCCGCCATCCGCCGCAGCCACTATGAGGAGGGACCTGGGAAGGTGGGCAGGAGCGTTTCGGTCCGCTCAGGGTCGTGGGGGGTGGGGGGGATTGGGGATGTCTGTGATGGCCGCCCTGTGATCACCTGCTTCGTGTGGCTTTGGGGCGGCGCTGTGCTGCCATAACACCCACAGCAGACTAAAGCCTGTGGTGCTGGCCCCCAGCGCCCTTCCCTGCGGTGGTACAGATGATGAGCATTGCGGTATGAGCAGCAACAATGATACTGTAAACGCTTTCTGATGTACCTTGTGGGTTGTCTCAAAGCCCCGCGTCTAAAAACTTAATTTTAAGCGTATCTAATGGAAGTGAGGAAAACCTTCACGGGGCAAATAATTAAATACCAGGACACTGGGGAGGCTGTGGATGTGTGTCCTCAGGAGAGGGTGAGACCTGCAGCAAAATGGCTCCGCTTTGGGCTGCAGATAGAGGCGACAAAGTGACCTCCAGAGATCACATCCAGAGAGTGTTAAGGTTTGCAATTCTAACCCCCTGCCACGGGCAGGGACGCCTGCTGCTAGCCTAGGTTGCTCCAAACCCCGTCCAACCTGGCCTTGGACACTTCCAGGGATGGGGCAAACTGTGCCAGGGCCTCAGCACCCTTACAGGAAGAATTTCTTCCATAAATCCAGCCTTAATTCCCTCACTTTCAGTTTGAAACTGTTCCCCCTCGACCTGTCACCACAGTTGTTGAAGTCTCTCTCCAGCTTCCCTGTAGGTGCCCTTCAGATAGTGGCTGATTATTCATCATCACAAACACCGTGTTTCTTTCCTTGAAAGGAAGGGAAGCTACTTTGAAATGACATGTTTATTTTACCAGCTTGTTTCTACCTGTTAGTGCTCTGAGTTTCTCACCGTTTTCAAGTCAATGAGAGAGCAATTAAACTGCACGGATTGCAAAACTAAAGCTCCCTTTTCTCCTCCAGAACCTGCCTTTCTCTGTGGAGAACAAGTGGCAGCTGCTGGCACTCATGTGTGGGTTCTTTGGAAGTGGATTTGCTGCCCCTTTCCTCATAGTCAGACACCAGCTCCTGAAGAAATGAAGGGCACAGACTGTAACTGCACTAATTGGGTAACTGATTTTATTGCTTTTCACAGCACAGTGGAATTTAAAGAGCCTGGCCTCATCAAGAAACGTTGTAATTTTCAGCCTTTTGCAGTCCACGTGCTCACAGTTGTGGTCTGCAGTTGCATCATAATGGCTCATATAATGGACAGGTTTTAGTTTGTGTCACAGAGCTGCTGCACTCAGTGGTTTGTGAACTTTGCCTCCCCAGAGGCCACATCTCTGACTGTAACTAGAGCCATGTCTGCTTTCACCTTTGAGGAAACACAAAGGTACACCTGACATGACCTGTAGGAGTAACTGGCATGGGTGATGTGACAAAACAGGATAAGAAACTGTGATGCTGTAAATGCTTTCTGATGTGCCAGATAAAGAGCAGTAGAAAACAAGATTTCTTAAGCTTCTTCAGCCATATCCAAACAATTATACCAGCTACATCATTCCTGACTAGTTCTGGGCTAAAGTCCACTTGAAAAAAGGTCATTAACAGAAATTAATTGACGCTTGCTGATGGTCCTAGCAAAGCAAGCCTCAGACATGACCCAGACTGTGCAAGCATGTCACTCACAGTTAAAAGGCTGCTTCAGTTTGTCCTGATACCATTCCACCTTGGAAATATCTGGTCTTGTCAATTCTGTAATCTGAAAAACATGTTTTTCAGAAACTGGAATGACCCAGGTAGTTCTTGGAAGGAAATAACAATCCTCACTGGCATCTCATAGTTGGAATAAATTGAAATTATCTGTGTAATTCCTTTGCCAGTTTGATGTTTTTGAGTCCCTGGACTGAGGAGGAAACAAAAATCAGCAGACTTTTATTGAACTTCAGCATTTAGAACTGTGTGGCTTCATGTAAGTCAAGGCCTCTGCAAAACCAGGTGATGGATGAAGCCAAGCCCATCAAAAATTCTAATTAAAGTATGTGCTTATAGCTGTTCTATATTCAAATAATAACCTGTAATTTTATTTGTAATAGTAATGTAGAGTTCCTAAATTTGGTTCATTTCTTTTCTTTGCAGAGTTGGAAGTCTTCTACCCATCACCTTTCAGTGGGAAAATGATAGCTGCAGTACAAGCTGGATGGGTCTAAATAAAATCTTAAATCTGAAAGCCTTGTGCTCTGTATTTTATGCAACTGCTAAAGTGCTTTTGACAGCTGGTGTATTCTGAGAACCCCTTCAAATTGCAGTGTATTGCCATTAAACACTAATTTTTGTTGTGTACAGAAACAGAGGGTAAGAAAAATTCACATTTCAGAAATTCAACTGGGCAAATACGTGGTTTGCTATTAATATTTTCTTTACAAAGAACTTTCAGTACAATTTTGTAAGCTTTTTAATCTAATGCGCTCAGTTAATTCAGGATTTCTCGAGTACAGATTAAACGATATTACTGGTTTTGATCTGTGCAGCTCTGCAGTTGATAGTTGGTTTTTTTTTTTTATGTAACACCTGCCCACCAGAAGTTTCAAAATGAGGAGCCACATTCTCCATTCACAGCAAACTGTGCTGCCAAAGCAGTAATTAGTCCCTTTAGAACCAGACTGTTTCCCTATGTGAGTTGCTCAGGCAGTTTTCAGTAATTTTCAAGCCCCATCAATTATCAAGTCTAGAAGTTCTCTGTCTGACTTTAGTAATTGGTTCCCTTAGGATTTCAGAACTTTCCCTTTGCAACAGAAACACATTAAGAGGTCTGTTCTGGTCTGTCTTTCTGTTAATACAAACTGGGACAGTCTGCATTCTACCCAAAGGCATTTTTTACTACTGGATTATCTATAATGTCATTGCTGTTCAACAAAGCAAAATCTAAAATTCATTGGTTTGGTTGCTTGAGTGGAAAATGCTCGTTGTCATTGAGATGTGGCTCCTGTCATTCATATCAGATGTTGAACAGTGTTTAATTTCACAGAAGCACAACTCCAGATTGTATTTGTCTCTCTGGCTTTATGAAATCACTGCTTATAGCCAGACTTGATTTTGGGAGCATGTGTCAGCCTAGAGCCTCTTCCTCTTCAACTATATTAGTTATTTATCTATCTATTCATTTGACTGCTGTTCTTCAAATTTATACTGGTCTTTAACCCATTCTATGGTTTATTTTAAGTCCCCCTACTCTTTTATTTGTTTGTTGGCTGCTAAACAGACGAGCCAGAAAACTCTGGTAGATTTTTTTACTCACCTCACTTTCTCATTTAGGAAGGACTTCTCTAAACACATTCCCACCACAGATACTGACATGGAAATACCCAGCCCTGAGTTATTGTAGAGACAGAAGTATCACTATAAGTATGCAGAATGAACTGATAATGATAATAAGTGGAATAGGTAGATTCATTAAAACCCAGCAGCTGTAGAATTAAGTTGTGCAAAACAAGTGTGTTCCATCACACTCAGCTGTATAATAGTCTGAGTACCCAATGAAATATTTATTTTTAAAATAGCCTTTTGGATTCCCTTCAAGGCACCTTGACTTGGTAGGAGATAAATCAATTGAAAAAACAAGAGGTAGAAAAATAAAACCCTTGCAGGTTTGATGTTACAACCAAAAAGCAATATGTAAGTGGTGTTTCTCTGTCATTAAAACTGTGTGAAGGAAACAAGGCAGTGGTTAAAGGACCTCTGGGACATAACACATCTGCGTGAATTATTGTATTTTTTTACTTGCTAGATGCCACTTTTAAGGAAACTCATTAATGGTCCCAGAGTTTTTCCCAGTTTTCCTGATATAATTTTCTCTTTAATGAATTCTGTTTTTACACAAACTCAAAATTGTTTCACTTTTCTTCCAGAGAGCTTCACACTTTACCATTTTATTTCTGTAAGGTATAGTTCTCAAGCAGTTACTCAGTTAAATCTGAGCAGATGTGAATTAGGTGTCCCTATGTTTTAATATTTTGAATGGTTTTAGTTTGGGGATCGTTCTGTTGTATACTGGGACAGCTCTGGAAGGACTTGTGTTCAGTTACATGGAATGGGGTAAATATTTTGATGTGATGAAAAATAATATATTTTTTTCAAATCAACTGATCATGGAATTTCTGCTCAGCAATTAATTGGGCAGTGTGTCCTATTCAGATCCCATTTTCAGAAAGCAATGGGAATTTGACTCCTTCCCAACCCAGTGAACAGAAATTTTAGGTCTTGTTCAGTGTCTTGAAATATCTGGTATTAACCTGCACTGGAGACTGGATACTGGATTTCATGAACCACACTCCAGTGTGGTTTAAAAGTGGTGAACCACTCCAATAAGAATATGAGTTACTTATGAAAATTGTTTTAAAATCTTGTTGCTGCTAATTAAACAGTGGGGTGAAAATTAAAAATATTTTCCAGTGTAAGTTCCCAGCTACTCCTTTCATGTTTCTTGCAAGCTTGAGATTGTTTTATTTCTGTTTGAGTTTGACATAGGAACATGAAACAAAATTAGAGGTTTATAAGCAAATTGGGCTGGAGGAAGAAAATATGAAACTATAGATTTTGGTTGTCATGACAATCGAATTAGCAGCCATTCTTATTGAGCTGTAGATGAGAGTTTGGACAGCATTGCACAGGTTAACACATTCAAGCTGTTTTTATTATTTAAAGGTAAGGGTCATGTACACATTGCACTTCATTGCCTTAGTGTAGTAACATCAATGGGCATTTCTCAAAAAATTAAATAGAAGTATTAAGGAAAAAGGAAGAGAAATATTTGCTGCCTCCATGAAATAGTAATTGATTGTTCTCAACTTCATGATCAAAAAAATGAAGTTTAATATAAAGTTATATATAGACTCTGGCTGTCCAGTGCTATAAAAACATTCCTACCTGTTCTCACCTCAGTGGAGTCCGTTAAACAGCCATAAGAAATTATTTTTAATTATTGTTTTAATGTGTGAAAATATGTGTAGTGGGGGCAAAACAGATTAAGTCTCTGGATTGCTTAACTGGAAATTGGAATGTGCATCACAGGAAACCAATAACATATTAGTTTATTTTTACTGGTATTGTAATTACATCTTCAATTATCACAAAAAGACATGGGTTGAAAAATAGGAAGCATGGTGTAAGTTTGGGTTATGTGATACTGGAAAAACAGACTTTGGAGTAGCATTGGCTGGTTTATGGCAGATCCAGGTGAAAGGACAGTGACAGTGAGACCCCCTGAACAGATGGGACTGGTGCAATTAACCACTGTTTCAATTAAGTAAAACATAAACGTAGAATTTCCCCTCCTCTGATCAGCTCCCCAGCGAGCTTCTGTTTGCTCTGATTGCAGTGAGAAGATAAATGTTAGTTGCTTTCTAGCATGATAGGTCAATAAGTTTGACTTGCATTTAAATGAGTTTAAAATAATAGTATTTGCTGGAATTAACGTGATCCACTGTTCCATTTTCCTTTTCTGGTATTCCATGAATAATATTAAGTTCTTTTCCTGTGGTTGAGCCACCTTTTTCCATTAGCTATGTAGAGCATACCGCTCTTTGAAAAATGACAGTGTATAAATAGTGTTGCTGAGAACCCAGCTAAGCCAGAGCCAGTAACAAAATGTACCCTTGAAAATGAACCTTGCTGGTGATGCCATAAGGTCCATCTGTTTTTTTCTTATTTTCCTAATTTTATAAGCTTTATAAGTAGTTAAGTAGTAAAAGTAGATTTTAGAAGCCGCAGCCCTTATTCCTCTACCCTTTAGCACAGTAGTTTACACATTCCCCTACCCCGTCACCCCATTCCATGCTTGCATATCAATATCCCCTGAATTCCAGTAGAAAATGTTTAGTCTCTCTTTAAGAGTAGGCCCTTTTGTTTAGAGAAGGCTTGTACCTTGGCTTAAACCACAACAGTACAGTCAAGAACTGGGTGAACGTGTGCCCCCTGTACCCTGAAGATGATGAAGAAGGGCTCTCAAAAAGCCCCTAGCCCCAATTCCCAAGGGGCGTGATTAAGGGCAAAAGCTACGGGATGGACAAAACTTGGATTGGTCGGGCAGTATTATAAATTGTAACATCTGAGGCACGGAAGGTGCGCATCACGTAGTCTCTATGCCTCAGAGGCACAAATTAAAATCTTTTCCTTATCTCACCTCCAAAACTAATTTGCCTCAGAGTTTTTTTCTCCCTGCATTTTCTTTAGGCAACACTGGTGAAAAAACGCTTGTAAAAATCATGTATATAGCAATTATGACAGGTGGTGAAAGGACAGAGATGAGAGGAAAGAGTGTGGTCTGAGGTTTGGTTTCTTTTTCTAATTTTTTTTTAAATTCAGAATTCTTGAGGGTTCTTTAGACTAAGTGTAAGGGGCTAAAAAAACCCAGAAAAACACAACTCCATAATTCTGGACTAAATGAGGTTTTGTAAAGATGAGGAGAAAGATCTCTTTCTCAGGGAAGGGAAAACCTGCTAGCCACCATCAGCATGGATATTTAATGGTAATAGGTGGGATAGATAAGATCTGGGGCTTTGTAGATAACCAAAGCTGTTGCCTGACACAGTGGCAGGATGGGCTATTGGGGGGGGGAGGGATCAACATAAATATATGATCCATTAATATAAATGAACAATTCTTTCTCCATGTGTTCCTGAGCCTTCCATGTAATTGGAAGTAAAAGCTGAGGAAGATGTAACCTCCCTAAAGAAGATCCATGTCTCTATAATTCCTCGTCTGGCAGGGTTTTCTCTGACAGCCCGAAGCAGCGCTGCTTCTCCTTCACGTTTGTTTTTCCAGACATGATGCTGCCCTCTGAATCCAATACTGCAGAGACTTGTTTTCTGCCAAACAGCAGGATTTAAGTTAACTATTATCTCAACCTGCTGTCCGGAGCTGTAACTGCCTTTTTATATCTTAGTCAGAAGTATTTTGGTGCTGGCTTTACAAAGCTGCGTGTGGAGGGGATGGGGGTTTTTTTGGAGGGGTGGGGGGAAGGCTTGCTACCCCTAAATAAGGTCTTTTTGATCATATTCTGAAGTGGCAGCACAAAGAGAGAGGTATTCTGCAAAAAAATATAATAGGTACTGCATAATTTACCTTGTTAGGCCCAGTTGAAGTGCCTCTGCCCAGTACATAACCTAAACAGAGGGTGTGGGCACTGACAGCCTGTCTGCAGGACAATTAACTTGCTGGAGGTGTGACTTC